AAAATTAAAAGGAGCACTTTGAAAACACATCAGATCTCAATGGGAAAAATCTCATGCTGAATATCTATACTGATATGGACTGGGTAATATGTTAGGAAGGTAAGGATGCCCCTTTGTTTGATGGAAATGAAAATTATCAACCTACAGAGGACTGAATTCAAAGATACCCCAAAAATCAAAGCAAAAAAATGATGCAGCAGGCTAGTCCATTTTTTCTCTGAAATTTCATTGCAGCAACTCAAAATGGTACTTAGTAGTTTGTATGGCCCACATGCTTGTATGCATGCCTGACAACATCGGGGCATGCTCCTAATGAGAAGACGGATGGTATCCTGGGGTATTTCCTCCCAAATCTGAACCAGGGCATCACTGAGCTCCTGGACACTCTGAGGTGCAACCCAGCAGAGTCAGATGGACCGAAACATGATATCCCAGAAGTGTTTTATTTAGGTCAATCAACCTTGGGGGCCATTCAATGGTATCAATTTCTTCTTCCTCCAGGAACTGCCTGCATACTCAGGATGAACCCAGCACCCACTGCACCAGAATAGGGTCTGACAATGGGTCCAAGGATTTCATCCCAATACCTAATGGCAGTCAGGGTGCCATTGTCTAGCCTGTAGAGATCTGTGCATCCCTCCATGGATATGCCTCCCCAGACCATCACTGACCCACCACCAAACCAGTCATGCTTAATGATGGTACAGGCTGTATAACATTCTCCACGGCTTCTCCAAACCCTTTCATGTCTGTCACGTGCTCAGGGTGTGAACATCCTCATATCTATGAAAGTCACAGGGTACCAGTGGAAAGACCTGCCAATTCTGGTGTTCAATGGCAAATGCCAATCAAGCTCTATGGTGCTGGGCAGTGAGCATAGGACCCACTAGAGGAACGTTGGGCCCTTAGGCCACCCTCATGAAGTCTGTTTCTGATTGTTTGGTCAAAGACATTCACACCAGTGGCCTGCTGGAGGTCATTGTGTAGGGCTCTGGCAGTGCTCATCCTGTTCCTCCTTGCACAAAGGAGCAGATACCGGTCCTGCAGATGGGTTAAGGACCTCTACAGCCCTGTCCAGCTCTCCTAGAATAACTGCCTGGCTCCTGGAATCTGCTCCATGCTATTGAGACTGTTGGGATACATAGCAAACCTTTTTCTTTTCTTTTGTTAATTGCATCTTTCAAAGAAAAGTTTTTTACACATAATCATCTACAATTTATTACCAATTTTCCAAAACCTTACTGCTTTAATTTTCAATAATGGTATATAGTTCGCTTGATATATACTCCTAAATGACTGGGTGAGCTTTACTCCTAAATATTTTAATTCTTTGTCCTGCCACTTAAAAGGACATTTTTCTTGTAATACTTGTCTTTCTACTGTCAACCTATTAATGTCTAAGAGCTCTAATTTTGTAAGATTCATTTTGAAATTTGATAGTTCACCATAATATTTTAAAATTTGCATTAAGTTTGATAATGTTATTCTAGGATTTACCACATAGAATAAAATATTGCCTGCATACGCTGTCACTTTGTGTTCTACTTCTCCTATCTAAATCCCTTTTATATCTAAACTTTTCCTTATCGTTGCTAGCAGAGGCTCCAAAGTTAACACAAGAAAAGGGGGGTGAGAGTGGACATTCCTGCCTCATTCCATTGTACATTTTGAAAGATTCCAACAATGTACCATTAATCTTTACTGCTGCTGATGGATGACAACATAAACCTGGCAATAGCACATATTGATGTGCCATCCTGGAGGAGTTGGACTGCCTGTGCAACCTCTGTAGGGTCCAGGTATCGCCTCATGCTACCAGTAGTGACACTGACCCTAGCCAAATACAAAAACTAGTGAAAGAGTCGGAAAAGATTAGTAGGGAAAAAAAAATGTCAGTGGCCTCCAACTGTAAAACCATTCCTGTTTTGGGGGTAGTTTCATTGTTGCCCATCTAGTACACTTGTTAATTTCATTAACCCCAAAGTAGCTGAAACTGATTAACAACCCCTTCTGCTACTTAACTGACCAGATCAATATCCCAGGAGTTTAATTGACTTGATGCTATACGCTGATTAAAAAGTGATTTTTTTGGAGCAGTGCATATTATATTTTTTTTCTTGGGTTGAGATATCCTTTAAAGCGGTAGTAAACTTTTTTTTTTTTTTTTTTTTAAAGTTTGCCCCTGCAAGGCAAAGGCATAATGGGGTTGATTCTCTAAAGGCAAGTAGACTGAGCACAAAGTGCAGTTGCTCCAAAGCTTAGTAAATGAGGTGAAGCTCTACTGCCTTCCATTATGCAACCATGTGCAAGCAAAATGCTGTTTTTTATTTTCCTTGCACTTGATTTGGTATTCTTTGTAGAGTGAAGTTTTACCTCATTTACCAAGTTCTGGAGCATTGCTCCTGCAAAGTGCACAATCTATTTGGCTTTAGTAAATCAATCCCATTGTGCTAGTATGCCACGCATATTAGCGCATTATGAAGGACTTACCTTAAAACGAAGCCTTCTAGCAGCGTGCTGCCATCACTGCAGAGGCTTTTATCTTCACCCGGTCTTCTTTCCGGGTTTGAAAGGCCAAGCTACGATGGCTTTACTTCTGTGCATCTCAGCCACAGCACACAGCTCTGAAGGAAAGGCAAGGGTATGCCATTCCTTCACAGCACATGCACAGTTGACGTCACTGGCTGCTGCTCACTAAAGTATCTCCTAAACGGCGCACGTTTAGAAGATATTACATTTTATCTACAAGTAAGCTTTATTATCTTACCTGTAGGTAAAAATAAACAACAGTTTACTACCACTTTAATCCTGAACATGCAACTTTGGAAAAAAAATATGGAAAATGTTTAAACCCCTAAAAGTATATATTGAACAATGAAGTGGTGTCATCACACAAATGGACAAATAGTTTTGAGTCCTGCAGCAGCCTTGGGACTACTTTTAGCATCGGGACGCCAGCGGAGAAATTGCCCACTTTGTTTTTGAAAGTAGGACATGCTTCTGATCCATTTTTACTTCTAGAGTCTTAAGTGTAACACAGGCCAAAACTGTTTTAGTTGTGAATACAGAATGGGGAAGAATGCGTTTAAAACTTGGACACATTTCTAGTTGCGTCTAGGACTTTGTTTGAAAGATCTTCCCCATTTTAGGTTATTAAGACAGGAAGGGGGAGTTCCTCTGTAATAGGGACACAGACAATGGGGTTTCTGATGCTGGGAGGCAGGGCATGGTGACCGCTGCTATTGGCTGTCACATGATCGAAAAGCTCTCGATCGCAAGTAGCGATTGGGAGCTGTTAGGCGCCGATAACTTCACAGTGCGCGCTCTTAGCACAGTTCTGTTTTTCTTTGGGTACACATATATGCGACCTCTCAGCGTCAAGGCCCACCTGCTGAGAGGCTGCATATATGTGTACTCTTGGTGCAAAGAGGTTAAATGTACAATAATGCTTTGCAATACACACCCATAGCAAAGGGCCCCTTAAGGATTACAAACTAAAGACAACATTTTCTGTTTTTGGTGGCTATGCATTGTAAGAGAGATTTTGTGCAATTATCTACCAGGGATCTTTTTGGAGTTTCTCTATGTAGTCATAGGTTCTCTTGGTTAGGAAATCAATGTCAGATTGCTATACAAAAATAAGGATAGAATACTCATGCGCTGCCACAACAAAAACGATAAGCTGCTGCAAGCACCTAAGTGTGTTCCCACATCACTAAAACTCCCAAAGAATAGTGCTGCACTGCCCTCTAGTGGCCCACAAAATACACTAATAAATAAAGGGACCCTCCTGGGCATCAAACCCAATGTGTAATAGAATAAATCTGCAAAACAAATAAAGTCAATAGTAAATAAAAACAAAAAACTGGCTGAGCCACTAAAACCAAAATCAAGTAGCAATAAACACCTAGCCAACCTATAATCAACACCTGGCTGAGCTGAAGAATAAAGTGTAAAAAACAACAAAAACAGAAAACACACGAAAAGACTGAGGGAATGTCAGACTGCTTATGGCAGAATGCAAGAACACTGCAGAGAACACAAGGTATCATGGTTCTGGCACCCCAGTGAGCATTATTATAGTCAAAACATTTTTTTATCCAACAAGGTTGTTATGTGAACTAAGAGAAGGTAATCCTACTTTTTACTAAGCGCGCAGTTCCTTAAAACGTACTACATGAAAAAGTTGAAACAATAAAAAAAAGACAGATGTTTAATGAAGAGGAACAAAATCACCTTCTTTTCTTTTGGTCGTTATAACATTCCAATCCATAGAAAAAATATTTACTAACAAGAGTTTATTATGATGAATAAATACAATGGGAGTGACAATGCTTTGTATAAATATAACTATGTACATGACATGTACTGAACTGCACGACGCAGTGATAAGAGTACAGAAACACCTTCCCTGTCTCTGGTAATAACAGTGGGCCAGTCCCAGCTTGCTCACTCGCTTTCTCTTTCATCTTCATCACATTAGGAAATCAATAGGTTCATTTGTACAGCAATGTGCAGCAGTCCCCACTAGGGGGAAGAACTGTACTTTGCTTTGGCAGGTCCCAGGCCGATAACATTTGCATCTTCTGTTTCACACTGTCACAGTTTTGTGTAGCAAATCAGACATGACAACATTCAAATGAGATGTTTGGGCAATTCCAAGAAGCCGTCAAGACGATGTCCATTGTACTGTATGGCAGTGCTTGGCGAGTGTCCTCTCATGTCCTGCAGAGGGCACTCCACAGTAGATTTGTATTTTCTCATGGTCCACATCTATTATATGTGGTTGTCCACATTTCCCCAGGCTTGGGCTAGTCATCAGCCTCCTTTAGGTCTTTCAGAAGTGGTTTACATCTGAAGAATTTGCATTCAACTATCAAGTCTTCTCCCTCTGAAGTTGAAAACTGAGGAATAATCTCATGGAATTTTTTTTTTTTTTTTAAATTTTAAGTTCCTGCCCTGGAAATCTACTGTGTATAATGCAATTGCCGTTCCATGGCTTAATTTAGAACGTTTCCCTGGGAATTGGATCGTGCCATGTCAGTGATGACAAAATAGGTACAGAGTTGACCTTTACCCTTGACCTTGATGACCCCTCGCCTTTCACAAGTATATCCCAGCTTCTGAAGTACTTTACTGGTTTCTTCTGTGACCTAAAGGAAAAAGATATATGGAAACAGAGCTTAATAAAGAGAATGCAATTCGGGAGCACATACTGGGCAAGAGTTTCTAAAACTGGAGCGTGCAAAATCTGGTGCAACTCTGCATAGAAACCAATCAGATTCCAAGTTTTATTGCATAGAAACCAATCAGATTCCAAGTTTTATTGTCAAATCTTAAATGAATAAGCTTAAGTTAGAAGCGGATTGGCTACCGTGCACCACTACACCCAGGGGCGGACTGACCATTTGGAAACTCGGGCGCTGCCCGAGGGCCCGGGGTCAGTAGGGGGCCCCATGAGATGCCCCTGGTACCTTTTTCATAGGCTTTTTTGAGTTTGGGCAAGGACACAGGGGCCCTATGATCCCCTATTGCCCGGGGGCCCCATGCGTTGTCAGTCCGCCCCTGACTGCACCTATTCTAAAACTGGAGCGTGCAAAATCTGGTGCAGCTCTGCATAGAAACCAATCAGATTCCAGGTTTTATTGCATAGAAACCAATCAGATTCCAGGTTTTATTGTCAAAGCTTAAATGAAAAAGCTTAAGTTAGAAGCGGATTGGCTACCGTGCACCACTGCACCTATTCTAAAACTGGAGCAAGCAAAATCTGGAGCACCGCTGCATAGAAAAACCAATCAGATTCCAGGTTTTATTGCATAGAAACCAATCAGATTCTAGGTTTTATTGTCAAAGCTTAAATGAACAAGCTGAAGTTAGAAGCGGATTGGCTACCGTGCACAGCAGCACCAGATTATGACTGCACCAATTTTAGTAAATCTCCTCCACTGTGTCTACTATGACAGGCATAGATGTAGCTGTTGCAGTCATTAGAATGTTTGCAAGTTGAAAAACGTAGAGAATTAATTTTTTTGCAGCACTTAAACAGGGAAAAAATAGAGTCCTCTCTTATTACTGCAGCGATACTTCACAGTAGCTCAGTAAATGCTGATCTTTAGTTATAATCATGCTGGAAGTTTAATATATCACAAGCACAGTGTGTAGATCAAATAACAAGAGTTGATTGGACAGACAGAGCAAATGGGTTGGAAGGCATCCAATAAACTAAGGCTAAAGGTCTGACTCTGAGCTAGCAGTCTACCATTCTATAAAGAAAGTCCTATAATTACCCAATAACATTTTTATTTTAATGAAAGGCCTATGTACATGCAAACACACACACATGCACGGTAAACTATATAAATGTATTACATACACACTAGACTTTCCACTAATTAAACATCATAAGAACAGTTGGCGCAGCTGCTCATCTCCAGTCTGCTGATAAATTGTATACAGTAATAATGAGACTATGGAAAACCGTGGGCTAACACAGAAGCCCTGTTTAATAATGTAGCGTGTTTAGGGTATTTTGTATATAATGACAGCACTCTAAATATAGCACATAGGCAGTGCTATTAAAAATGCATTAAAGTTAAAAAAAAAAAACTAAATTTATATGAATGTGTTACAAAACCTTAAACAAAAACAAAAATGGTTGTTTGATACAACAGCTAACACAAAGTAGCCATTGCAGCACAACATTACTAAATACATCAAGGATGAGATTGGCAGGGCTTCACATGGCTTGACCTCATCCGGGGGGAATAACACTAGCAGCAGCAAAAAGCTTACAATATATAAAATGGTAAATTTACCCCAAGAGGATAATTGCCACTACCCATAGACATGAGGTGTATATTCTGATCTGGGTAATATCTGGAATGGGTCATGGTCATCTCATGTCCACGTCTTTTACCAGGTCATTTCTTTCATGTCTATAACAAGATTTTTCTTCAACTTCGTAACTAGGAGCAGGTCAGGTGAGGAGTTCTCAACTTTACAAAAGTCAGTCCTTGGCATCCTTAGCTTCTTTTTCTTTCAATTCCAAATGTGTTCTTTCCAGATGAGAGCCAGATTTATTTAGGTACTTTAAATACGTAAAAATACATGCAGGTCTTTACACATTGCCTGTTTCAGCCCGATGGTTTATATGGGGGGGGGGGGAGATGGATGTATATTTTTCTGTACTGGTTTGTAACTTCTTTCTTATGGAAAAAATGAATAAACACTACTGAAAAGAAAATACATGCAGGTGATCTGAAGAGAAGGATTTTCTAAAGCTGACCAAACCCCTTACACTCTCCTTGTACAATCTAGTGCAAATCTACCAACTATGTAGTGCAGGGGCTCCCCTGACTGCATACAAATTGAACAGATGCAAGGGTTGGTCCTTACGTTACATTTGGAAAACCTAACCCATTTGGTAAACGTAAAGGAAATTGTACAATCAGATAGTAACATATATGGCATGTTTAACCATTTCCATACCGGGCACTTTTACCCCTTCCTGCCCAGGCCATTTTTCAGGTTTCAGCGCTCTCACACTTTGAATGACAATTGCGCGGGTCATACAACATTGTACCCAAACTAAAATTTTATCATTTTCTTCACACAACTAGAGCTTTCTTTTGGTGGTATTTAATCACCGCCAGGGTTTTTATTTTTTGCTAAATTAAAAAAAAAAAAAAAAAAAAAAAAAAAAAAACATGTTTCTTTGTTTCTGTTATAAATGTTCACAATTAAATAATTGTTCTTCATAAATTTAGGCGGAGATGTATTCTGCTACATGTCTTTGGTGAAAATAACCAAATTAGGATGTATTTTTTAGTTTGTAGGAAAGTTATAGAGTTCACAAACTATGGTATAGATCTGAAAATTGATCAATCCTGAAGTACTGACAGCCAATCTAATTTCTTGAGGTCCAAGAATGTCAGAACAGTACAGAGATCCCCCAAATTATTTTCACAATTTTTTTTTTCACATTCTGTCACCAATGCAGTACAGCGTCATCATATAACTGGCATGGCGGTGATCAGGGACACTGACTGGTGACAGTATGAAAAAAAAAAATTTTTTTTTTTTTTCCTTTTAAGATTTTTTTTCATATTTCACTATGTCCAAAGTAGTACAATGTTTTTACCATAGTAACATTGTACTACTTTGGGAAAGTGATCAGTTATTTTTTTTTTTTTTTTTTTTTACACAATTTGCTTATAGCAAAGAATTACTTTGCTATAAGCAAGCATTTACCTGAATGACATCGATTCATTCAGGGTTTTTTTTTTTGTGCTTAGCTGTGATTTGGCCACAGCTAATCACATGACATGTGCATGTGATCGCTGTGACCATTCACAGCTAGACACTAGTATACAATGGATGGCATGAATAAAGCCATCCATTGTATACAACTGTCATGTGACCTGCTGTGATTGGTCACAGCAGTTTACATGGTACCGGCAACAGGGGCCGGTACTCAGACCTGTCATCGGCCGTGTCCGAGGTACATGGCCAGTGACAGATCGCGCCGCTGTGTGGCCCTGCAAGCGCGAAAACTGCACGTGCAGGAGGACGCCATATGGCGTCCACCCGGAAATCTACAGCCTTTTCCCGGCCGCCGACCGGCTATTGGCGGGGCGGCTATTGGTTAAGTCCTCATTTTCCAAAACCTGATGTGTGTATGGGCCAGCACAAAAACTTTTCCACCAAATATAAATTTTGTACGTAGTATTCGAGATAGCATATATTTGGAAACTGAATATGTATGCAGCTCTAAAAAGACAGTTTTAATTGTGCACCTCAAATGAACTGGGATTACCCACATCTGTCAGATTTGTGAATCATCATTTCCATATATGTTGCCTATTCTGCCACATTGTCCCATGGCAGCTTTTCTGCTACAACTGGTGTGACTGACTTGGATCAATACACTCTTAGAAGGCTACTCATTTATATCCTTGAACCTTCAGTGGTATATTCTTCAATTAAATGTTGCTGGCAACATCAGTAAGCAGCTCATTAAACATAGGGAACATTTTGCCACCTAGTAAAAGGACACTTAAATTTAGAAAAATTTAGCCAGTGTGAAAATAAGTAGAGCGCTACCTGGATTTTGCCAAGTACCCCAGTACTGTCCATACGACTTGCCACATTGACAGTGTTCCCCCAGATGTCGTACTGTGGCTTCTGTGCTCCTATCACCCCGGCTACTACAGGTCCATGATTAATACCTAGCAGGTAATAAGACAACTTGTTACAATTTTATTGGTTACTAAAAAGTAAAAATATGAAATAAATAAATACAAATTTGATGACAATGAAGTAGAAGGCACATTAAGAAAAATGGTGAAACATGACTTGCCTATGCGAAGCTTGAAGTTGTTAAAAGAATGCTTGTTGATCACGTCAAGTTTTCCAATTAATGCAGTAGCAAATTCCACCATGATGCCAATGTGATTATAATTCCTGTCTCCATCCTGGCAGATATAGAGAACAAAAAGATAGTACACTGCCATATGTCAACATATCTCAGTGGCAAAGATCAACATTCTCTCATAAGTATGAGTTTGCAATGATAAGAAAAGCAGAAACAGTATCACAATTGTCTGTGTGCATTCCACATACAGGAAACACATAATTCTCATGTACCAAGGATACCTGAGGGTTTTCTTGTCCCGATGTGGCATTTAATCCTGTCGCTGCCATGTACGCACTGCCAATGGTCTTTATTTTTTCTACGCTGCTAAACTTTGGCTTGGAGAGTAGCTAAAGAATATAGAAAATGATGCAAACACTTGTTAGAGTGAATGTAAAATCTAATGAGCGTGTGGACAAAATTCGTGATCATTAACAGAAAAAGAGGCATAGGTTTGGGGGGAGAATCTCTGGTTTGGAAACCCCTATACATGTGATTAGTGTAACAAAAGCAAAAAAGACATAGCAGTAGTTCTGTTGATATGGGGAATATGTTGGAATCTGGCCCAGGGGGGACACTGTAGGGCTACGACATCTGGCAGATATAGAGAAGAGGGCAGAACATTGGTTCCTATTCCTCGCTGCAGGGTTGCCACTATCATCCCTGCTGTTAGAACAATGATTGTCTGTAATAATGTGTACATAATTAAACTACACAGTGTAAAATAAAAAAAAACAAAAAAAAAAAAACTGTTTTTATGTAACACTATTCACTTCCAGCTGAAGTACCTGGACAGGGGGGATGTCAATACAGGGATAATATGCTGGGATGTAAGGTCATATTTAGATCTGCCAACTCAGATTACATTTGCATTAATCTTAAACAATAAGAACACACAGATGTAGCATCTCTACATTTATAGAATTGTATACAATTATTGGTTAACATACCTCATCAAAGTCAGCTATTATCTCATTAAGTAGCCTTAGACACTCTAGGCCCTCGTGATTTTCATCACACTCAGTGTAAAATTCCTTGAAGTCAGGTATGGATGCAAAGATGACACAGACACAGTCATAGGACTGGTAATACAGGTCCTACAGAAATGAAAAGTATGCGCTGAAAAGTGCTATAAGCTATACACAATAAAGAAGTTAAACACTTAAAAAAAAAAATTAAATACTGAAAAACATATTGTGCTGGGTTACCTCATTCCTAAGGTTCTGCCCAATGAACTGCTGAGCTACATCAGCAGGGAGAACATTTTCAAGTAGGACCCTGTTCAGATTCTCCATGGTCTCAATACGTTCACGCTCCATTTTAAACTTCCTTTTCCACAGAAAGTCAAGACGACAATAAAATTCGTTCTAGAGAAGGAACACCACATACATTTACAATAGGCCATGTAATATCAGACTGAGATTTATTGCAAAATGAAAAAGTATAGTGTAATTTGAACAACCATATATTTTGAGTTATCACTTCAGTTTTTACTTCCGATTGATCACTGGAATTTAGTATTTTACAGTTCTGGTCCCTATGGAACAAAGTACATATAATATTTTTTCCCCCATGTTTCTAAGTGCTTTCTAACCCTAGTTATGGTTGCTGGCCTGCCCCTCTCCCCTTCCGGTGTGGTTCATCTGACAACAGCTATGAAGGAGACATGAAAGTGGACATCTCTGCTATGTCCACTTTCTTGAGACAAGCAAAGGCAAGGAGGAACGGAATGGGAGGGGAGCCATGTGTCAGCCTATGCATTCTTCTTGCCATTTTTTCTCCAATATTTGTATAACACATTGGTTCACATCAAGCTGATCTCCTTTACTTGTATATCTAGTAAAACACTGAACAACTATATATCTTCCTTTAACACAAATCTGTCAGACCACTGACAGCGCCATAACTGATAATAGATAGTCACTGTACCGATTCCAGTTTGATCCAAGCAGACCACAGCTTGGGACTAGGCAGTGATGCCTCACCAATGAATACAATCTAGTTAGGCAAGATCTTAGATAGGCACACTTAATGCTGCTGTTTGAAAATGCAAATCCCATGGATTTATGGAGACATAAAAAGGACAAGGGGCCTGTTCCCAATCTGTCACTTCTCGCAGTTTATGCAAAGTGGGCCTCGTTTATTAAAACATCTTCTAGCAGAATGTCTCAGGCAAATTGTGTTACTATTGTAACCTATTAATTTTTCTCTTTCAGTCTATCAAGCTGTACTGGGACAATAAAGAAGAGAATCAGTTTTGTTGCTATAAAAATCAAATGTGTTTTGTGATTCTTTGGGGTAGATTTACTAAAGGCAAATAGACTGTGCACTCTGCAAGTGCAGATGCGCTCTGCAAGTGAATTTTCTCTAGAGCTTAGTAAATGAGGTAAAGCTTCACTTTACAAGAACACCCTATAAAATGAAAGGAAAATAAAAAAAAAAAAAAAAACAGCATTTTTGCTTGCACATGATTGGACGATGGAAGCCAGCAGAGATCCCCCTCATTTACCATCTCTGGAGAACCTGCACTTGCAGAGTGCACAGTCTATTTGCCTTTAGTAAATAAACCCCTTTATGTTTTAAATGTCATTAGTTGGTACTCACCTGTCTGGCCAGGGCAATGAGAGTGAAAAAGAAGATAAATAATGCAATACTGCCCATAATCTGTGGCTCTTTTAGGACTCCAGGCCTGAAACGTAGAAGAGGGTTAAAATGTGTTATTTCTTTGAGATTTTCATTTAAAAGTTAGTTTTTTTTAATGACAAGTAACCTGAAGGTAAATTACATTTTGGATTTTAAGTCAGTTCATTATATAACACCCTGGTCACATCGCGTGCAACTTGGCATGCCATGCGCCTTGCAAGTCGTATGACAAGTCGAACCGTATGGTTCGGTTCCGACTTGGTCGCACCGCACCAATTTCTAAAGTAGTGCATGCACTACTTTTGTTGCGATTTGCATAGACATCTGTACCAGATGTCTTGCAAATTGCAACTGAAATCGGCAGGTCACCTGATTTTGAAATCGTGGGACTTCACTGCAAGTCGCATGATTTCAAAATCGGCTTTGATGTGACCGGAGCTTACACACAGAATGATTAGCTGACAAAACTCTTCCTGCTACGATACCTCTCTGTGTATGTAAATGGCCTGCAGATTATTTTGTCATTTCGTCCTAGAATTTTATTCTAGTTTATTTCCAGATTATTGCTTCCTTCCCCATTCCATCATTCAGTGTTTCAAAACATTTATTTGCTGTCCAAAAACAAATGTATTATTTTATCAATTGTTTTTTCTTACACATTAGGAAAAACAAAAACAACATTTCTCGCCGCATTGATAGGAGGTTAAATGCAAAGAGCTGCAGAGCCTTTCACTGATTTGTACAGGCTGCTGGCTACGGTTGATTGCACGCACCTGTGCACCTCCCCCCCCCCCCCCCCAGAGACATTCCAAGGAAGGCGGGACCAGCTAACACTTTTGAAAAATCCATTTTTCCCCTATGTCTCATATCTTGGAATATGAGAGACTTACATAAAAACCAGACATATCGTCAGATTGGCTAAGAGAAGCCGAACAATTTGATAGGTCACTCGCCTTATCTCAAATACATAGGAAAGCCGAAAAATAGATCTCATGAACTGTTCAGTGTATAATTTCATAATTCATAGCTAATCAATCCTCAGACATGTCTGCATAATAATCTACCCGCGGGTGGAATGTCACTGGTGCATATGAAGAGTTATGAGCCAAAATATGAGTTCGGAAAGATTTTGGCTCTAGTTTAGGTCCACACGCAGACCTCCACGCCCTAAACGGGGTATTGGTCCTTAACTTCAGAGACACCTCCTGCTGGGGACTACAAAATAGGCTGTCAGGCCTAAGGAGAAGAGAGAGTTGAAGACGTCTCCCATTTTAACATCAGTACCACCTGGGGAGACCCGTGCCCTTTCGCTCTGAAACTTGGATCTGCTAACCCAGGACGTTGGCAAGTACCTTAACCCTTTCACCTCTCTGATATCTCTTTGCTGTGCTGTTAGTCTCTCTCTCTCTCTATATATCTATCTCTTAGTTACACCTTTTCTGTAAATATTTTTATTGCACCCGTTTGACCTTTTAGTAATAAATCTTTCCTTCTGAAAGTGTTGAACTGTTTCTATAGCGCTTTATTGCAATCTACGAATTTCTGCCTCTAAAGAGAAAGCTACTGTGTTTGTTTAACCCTCTGTATAACCGTGTTATACAGACGATTACCTTACCCATTAAAGTGTTAGAACTGATATCACCGAGTTTCCTCTCTGTACAGAGGTGGTGGCAGTGTGAAGGGTTAATTGCGTAATTAACCTGACCCAGTAACAATCGCTCAGGCTGCTGCCGGTACATAGATTGTGGTCCAATTAGCTGGAAAATCGTTGTGCAGGGTGCAGCTGGGTGTGGCATTGTTATGCACGTGACATCGCGGTTTTAGATCAGCTAGTCCTTCAGTCACGAGTTTGGTGAGAAAGGCTGGGGTCTGACGCCACGATCGTAACACTGCCCATGTGCACAAAAATCATGGGGTCTATGCCAGATTACTGTCAGGGCCCAAGAAGTGTCTGTGCATTACCAGGGGGGTATGGCGCATGCGCAGACGTGCACCAGATCTCAATTCAAGATGGCAGCATTGGAGAGGAGCAGTTTAGGGAGAACTTTCTCTACAAGCAAGGCAACACTGGACTCCACGAACAAGTATGTTTTTTTCTTACTTATATGCAGGGACAAGTTTTAGGATTTAAACATTTCTTTTTTTGTAAGGGTTCAGTTCCTCTTTAAGTGTGTATATACAATTGATTTCTTTAATGATATAAATTTTGACAATTAGCATTTGGTATATTTTATAGAACACCATGGGGGAAGCTGGCTCTATATCTTCATCAATAGTCAACACCAGAGAAGACAATACATGCTTTAAGTGAATACCTGGAGATGTTCTGATTTGCAGTAAGCCAATCAATGTAACAGTGTGACAACCAGCTGTGAGTGTACAAGAAGATGATATTGTATATCACCAGGGCAATGCTGAGAAGGATCAGTTTGACTTCAAAGTTCATAAGCAAGAAGGCAGAACAAGCCAGAAGCCCCAGAATACAGCAATACATGTAATACTAAAAAGAAGAAATAAAGCAACAATTACAACATATACACAACTATACTAGACAAGTAGTTCCAAAATCTTACACAGAACTTTACAGTACAACAGGCTTTAAACATGTGTTCATTAAAACCAGAGGGTATGCCTGCATAATGTGGTTATGTTATTATTTTCATGGATTTTAAATCTCGACATGTGCTGATAACCTGATGCATTTACAATTTGTCTCATCTGTACCACGTTAAATACAATCATTGTATCTATAGACTGTCATCTGACACACAGATCCTGTTACTGAAGGCAACTGATGAAACCTAGATTATATAAACATATATATATAGCTCAAAATAGTTCTTTTTTTTGGCCAAGCTGCCCAAGTGATCTATGTCCATTATTAAAAGATTCGGCAACTATGTGCGCTATACTATATTCGTACTAGCTAAAATATAGGAAGCAGTGCGGTGTTCTGAAGGATTATGGGCAACTTCTCATCTGCTGCCGGAACTAAATCGAGTCGATCTGAATGCTTCTCAGTCATTCAGGAAAAGACTGACTGGCCAAGGTGGAGAGGTGGGTGAATGATGTCATGATTTACACCTTGGCTGACCAGAGGAAGCCCTGTATTCATTGCTTAAAATACAAGCTTTTTGGTGAATGGCTAAGAAGTGTTCAGGATGACTCGGTCTATCTCCAGTAGCAGTAGGTAAATCACTCAAATGCTGCAGAACACAGCACCAAATACTGTCAATAGCTGATGCTACTACCATATAGTAAAGTGCAAACAGCAGACACATAATTTCTTATTTGAAATTAGTCCAAAGGAACTATTTAAAGTCATAGTAAACATGGAATTCTTCATTAAACCACAGGCAAAGTTATAGTTCAGAGATCCAGAACTTGTGATTTAAAGAGATTTAAAGTTACGGGCACTTTTCTAATATATGAATGCAATATTATTTCTTTTGGACACTTGAGCTTTTGTGTCAAGGCAAAGATCTATGCACAAAGTGAATCAATCAGAACCATTGAGGATCAGAAAGCAAAACCAATATAATGTTGCTATAGGTGAGCAAATGACTTCTTTGTGTTGGGAGCATAAATCAAGGGAGCTGCACTGCAAAGTCCAGAATTTTGCTGCACTCCTCAATATCTTTATTGAAATATTAAAATTACATTACATGTATGTCCGAAACACAAAAAGGTCATTTAAATCATGTGATCTTTGCCAATGGGGGAGGACAGCCAATGTGGACACTAATCTGCCCTTTAGCAGTCATCGTATAACAAAAGGTACAAAGCCTTCAAACATGTGCCTAGGTGGATAATTACTTCGCCCATTTAAAGTATCATTCACATGGATGCTCAGCTCCAAGAAGCACTTTTTTTTTACATTTTTATTGCCACTGGCCTGTGTGCAGGCAGTCTATCAATTGGGCTGCACGGATTCACACTCACATAGCAAATTGACAGGTTCACGAGGATTGGGGGCATGGACCCCAGGCGCATTGACAGCTTAGCGGTAAAAAAAAAAGTAAACAATTGGCTCTACATTCTGCACAAGGCTGAGCACTCATCCTTTATTTTTCACAGCAAAGCTGCCAATATTGTAGACAAACTAAGAAAACTGAAAATACACCCAGAGAATGTTAACTGACCGGCAGGCTATATACTGTTGAAATGACTGGAGTTACAGATGTATTTAATGAGATTCCTGGACATGCCCCATCAGGTAGAAAAAACTGCAAGTAAAAGAAACAAGAGATTAGCTCTACTGAATGCATCTGAATGCACGACTGAATGATTTAAAAAAAAAAAAATGCCTTTCACGTAAAAAGCCTCCAATAAACAAAGTGGGTACTAGTTTAAACAGATCTTATTCTTCAAAATAATATAAAACATATTTCTCTAGTGAGAAAATGTTTCTTTTTAGGTTTTCTGCCAATTATCACAGCTTCTTCTCCTGGAGTGTTTTCCGAGACTTGCAAAAAAAAGTAATCTTTTCCCAAATAGTGTTTCCTGCAAGCTTTGAGGGAAAAAAAAAAAAAATAAAATATGTCATATATATATATATATATATATATATATATATATATATAAATATATATATATATATATATATATATACACACACACACATACACACACACACACACACATATATGCATACACACACACACACATATATGCATACACACACACACATATATGCATACATACACACACATATATGCATACACACACACACATATATGCATACACACACACACATATATATGCATACACACACACACATATATGCATACACACACACATATATATGCATACATACACACTTTTTTTTTTTTTTTTTTACACACAGTTGAGAAAAGCACAGCTATGCCCCACCAAATTGTTGACATTAAGCCATGTTGGAAAATCCCCCTTGCTGTAAGTGCCATCAAGTGCATCTACTGCATTTAAAAATAAACATTATATACATACATATATATATTTATTTTATTTTTTTTTATATATTATACATACCCATATCTCAATATCTCATACAAAGTATAAAAGTATATATCTCCAATAAGGTTTAAAATGCAGTTGGTGTCATTGGTTGTGTGGTCTGCTTATTAAGGAAAAAATGGTGATGGGGAAAAAAAAAAAAAAAAAATAAGGACAGACAAAAATGCATTACCAGATTGAATACTGCCATAAACAACACCGTAAGAATAGTCAAGATTCCAAAGGGCACTCTAAACCAGGGCTGGCTGGAGACTGCAGAAGAGAGAGAGGGAACCCAGTGCAAGATCTGAGGTCCTTTGAGGATACATTTCTGTTGGAGAAACAGAAGAAGAGTCTTATTAAAGCAAGTTGGCAATGTATAAAGTTCTATGAAGCTGTAAATGTTTGACTTAAGCCTCATATTTTGCTATAAAGATTGAATGAACACAGAAAAAGTCTACTTATCATTTGGGACAAATAAGCTCTCATGTGTACAGTCCTACATAAAACCATTCTAATCATTTTCCAGCTTTGAAAATAAGTTACAGAGATTCTGCTTGCCAGACTAAATTTGCTCACTGAACACATTTCAGTAGTGTGTACCATAAACTGTCTCAGCTAGGAATGTTCAGTCTAGAGGATAGGGTTTGGCAGACAGTACCGAGATGTAGCAGAAAGATTCGGGACAGTAAACAAGAAAGCAAAAACAGAGGATAAAAACACAGGCAGACATAATTATTACTAAATTTGGATTTTAATCTGCGTGAAAGATAAGCAATATATCTACAATACATATCTTCCCCTCTGTCTGGCACTGAAATACAACTTGGCATAAAAAAAAAAGTGTGTAAAAACAAAAAAAAAAAAAAAAAAAAAAAAAAAAAAAAAAAAAAAAGGAGGCTGCTGTTGTGGACCTCCTGAATATGCTAGTTGCTTGGCTATTATGCTGATCAACTGTTTAAAAAACAAAAACCAAAAAAAAAAACCCCCTCTTTGTTCCCAGACAATAAGGATGCCATCCTTTAAGACCGCTAATCAGCAGTTTTGTCCAATTTACAGCAGTTATAGCAAGCTCTGATGACTTAAGGAAGCTTGGCCTATTTGTAGGAACAACTGAGTTCTGATCTTGGAAATCAAGACTTCGTCTACATTGTTTAAAGCACAAGTGCACATTTAGTACAGTTTTCCTTACAAAGGTTGCCCTTCCCCCAAGGTCTTACAAGTACCTATCCAAATTCTACAGAGATCTTTGCTAAACGGGTACTAGGGGTCTATTTCCAAATAATTTGCTGTGCAAATGTCTCAGCATTTGTACAGCCATCATGAATAATCCTCTTAATGTGTCTAATATGTTTATTTCCTTTGAGCATCAGCTTCATCTAGTGACCAGCAATAGTTTTCTGCAAAGCCACAACTAGGAAAATACCTCATTAATTCCACCAGATGGCGAAGACGATTTTTAGCAAATAAAATAATAGACACAGCACAGAGATTATTTGTGACAGCTGTGCAAATGCTAAGGCATTTGAGTAGCAATTTTTTATTAATAAGTAGACCCCGAATCTTGGTGCAATGTGCTTGGAACCTGTCGAACACATGTGGTGAACCTGCCCTAGAAAATAGTTTTTGGGATAGAATAACTTTAGTCATCCAGGACATAACGGGACAAGAGTTACTTATAGAGCCCTGGAGAGTTTTGTTTCATTGCACTGAAGTATTGGTGACCCTGTATAAGGCTAGGTTCACACCTCTGCAGGTTGCGTTTAAGCCGTTTATGCGTTGCATTTTGCATTTTTTGCACATGCATTTTTGCCGCTTTTTTATTTTTATTTTTAATTGTTCTTGTTGCTAGTCAGATTTAAAATGCAAAACCGATTAAAAAAAAGCCGCAAAAAAGCAATTTATGCTTTTCTGCACTGCGTCCATTGAAGTCTATGTAACAGAAAATGCAACTTTTTGCATTAAAAAAAGTCCTTGACCCTTTCCAAAAATCTCACCGGGTGAAAACACACAGATGTGAACATGTCCCATAGGAAATCATGTTCAATGGACTGTACTGCGTTTCTGCAAAACACTGCAGAAAACGCTTAAGTGTGAGAGGTCTTTCCTGCCCCATCTATTAAACATGGCCAAAGGATTGATCCCCAAGCATTGATGTCCACATAAATTCCCTACTGTGAAGGGATGGCTTCCAAAAGTAAAATTACATGTGCAGTGTAGAAGAACTGATGTATAGGTAAGAAGATACTGTAACCATTTCTCCCATTTAGCTTCAAATTTATCTAAAGTTTAAGAAGTCAGAAAAATGTACCAAACTCAGATGACCGTGAATAAGAAAGAAATATAAGTAGGAACAAGTATACAGGATTAGTGGGTAATTTTCCAAGCTGGTATACTATGAGGGGTTTTTATTACATAGCTAGCAATTAAAACATGGAATAATTGTAGAGCTATAAGTAGGACTCTTTTCTTTTCCGAGGTTGGGGGGGTCCTGTACGTTGATTTGAAGTGAAGCGGTTTAATTAATTGTGATATATTTAATTGTAACTTTTTTGGACATGTTTACCTAAATATTGAAATGGAATAATAATAATAAAAATCGATAATTAAAATAAATGTAAAAAAATAAATAGACCCAAATCACACAGCCTCTGCAAACAAAGTCTCCAGTCCAGTGCTTAGGTTTTTTATGCATGCAAAGGAGAGCCTCCATTTTTTCTCTGAAGAGAGGTTTTCTATTATGCATGCGATGGTGATCTGGACCAATAGATTTTTCTTGAAGCGGTTCTGCAACTCTCAGCAGCCGCAAAGTAAGATTTCTGTGGAACGTGGCCAGGTAAGTAAAGGGATTAGGAGGTCAACTGTTGAAAGTACATCTGTACCAAAAAGCAGTTTTCCTTTAAGCAAGGGGTGCATTGTTAGGTTCACAATTGTGGACTGGAAAAACAAAACAAAAACCAGTTATATACTACTCACCGCCAGATGTCCAGCAAAGCAGGTAAATAGGTAGAGTAGGAAAAGGAAGAAAGAAATGCCATAGGAGATGCCAATAGCGGTGTTCCTAAAGACAGGATGCAGACTATTAGGGCATTGCAACAATATGAATGTTGTAAGATACATACTACCTATTTTACTAGAACCTTAATAGTTATATTACTGTTTAGAAGACCGATAATTTCTTTGTTTTCATCGGCTTAATATGATTTTTTTTTTTCTGGAGATATTGTGGTTATTACAAGCGCCAACATAGAAACACAATGTAAAGTGAATTACTGGCAATAAATAGATTAAAAAAAGGTTAACCAGTGGTCAGTGAAGACCAGGAAAGATATGCTATGTATGAGGTCTATTTTAGGGCTTTCAAATGTTTTCTAGTTTTATTAAACAAAAAATATTAAAAAAGGTATATTACACTATCTTTATTGGTAAAACATTTTGTTGCCCACTTCATGCCAATCTATGACTGACTGCCATGGGTTACTGTACTTAACTTTGTACTTTGATAAGCTAATCAGAAATTATTGACTATGGCCAACAAAATGAATTGTTCAAAAGTGCAAAATAATTCTTTTTGGAACTCTACAATATGTGGCAAATTCTGAAATATTCACTACCACTTTAAAAAAAAAAATACAGTTGTCATCTTTTACAATCACACAGAGGCAAATCAGTCTTCTGTAGAATAAATTGTAATTCAGCATTTTTTCTACAAATCAATAACACTTGACAATGTCATACATGGCAGTGGCCGGTCATGCTTTCATGTTGGTATTCATACCCAATCCCATCATAAAACCTGACAACTTTACAGGGTTTGTAGAATTCTCAATTTACTGTAGCTAGATTCAACTCTAGCGTCAAAGGACAGTTGTAGTCATGTGGTATATTTCCATCACTTACTTGGGAGACACCAACATCTGGACAGCAAAGTTGCAGGTAAAGATGAAGAAGCAGCAGGCTGTGTAATATTTGAATGATGGTAGGTCAGATAGCCGATACTGTGTAAAATAACCAAATAAGAAACCTGTTATTTATAGGTTTTCCTTTAAAAATTCAACAAAGTTCATATAACATCAGTTACACGGTTTTAGCAAATGGGAAACATTTATAAAGATTAGGCAACCCGACAACATCTACTGTGCCTTGATTTTTCAGTACATATTTTTTCAGGTACCATTTTAATAAGTTCTGTATATTTGATGCATCTGAACCCTATTTCATGCATTAAAAAAGCACATACTACAACATATCTATAAATTAGCATGTCATACCATTTATCTATATGGATGATGAATGGTATGGCATCTGCTTGCTGGAAACTGCACTAAACAGGCAAGCAGACTTTTTAAAGGAAACCTGCACTAAGGGAAATCTGGAGGCTGCTATCACTGACATCCTTCTGAACATGCAATCTCCCTGTCTGCTTCTAAATTACATGGGAGATTCCCTGACCGATCATGTAGCATATAAAGTCAAAAATCCTAATTTGCATACCAGCTCAATGAAACACACCATTAAAGCTACTTGATCATTATTACAAGCAGGCACTAGGCATTTTCAGATGGAGATCAGCAACGGCATATACATTTTTCTCAGTACAGGTTACCTTTTAACTTACTCTATCACCAGCAGCAATACCCATAAGACAAAATACTGTATGCACCCCACCCTAATTACTGCAGGCAGCTACCAAGGAAGCAGTGGAGGAGCTAAGAGCTGGGGTCTCTGGAGAGACGAAAGTAAAGATGAAGGGTATTCACACAAGGCATAGTTATTAATAAAATGCCTACATACTTTTCAGCACAGCTTTCCTTTAAAAATGCAGCACAGGAAAAGGCATGGGTTAGAAGTATATACTATAAAGGAAAAAAAAAAAAAGGAAGAAGGAAAGGAAGAAAGGAAGAAAGAAAGAAAAGAAAAGACGGAAAGAAAGAAAAGAAGACGGAAAGAAAGAAAAGAAGAAGGAAAGAAAGAAAAGAAGAAGGAAAGAAAGGAAGGGAAGGGAAGGGAAGGGAAGGAAGGAAGGAAGGAAAGAAAGAAAGAAAAGAAAGAAAGGAAGAATGAAGTAGAAGGAAGAAAGAAGGAGAAGGTCCAGAAGTTCTTATACACTTAAAGTAAAGTTTAAAGTGTATGGAGAAAAAAAAAAAAAAAAAAAAAGTATACGTAAAGGCTTAAATCTATTTCTATTTTTGATGGAGTAGGAAAAGTAATAAAACACCTTTTAGGGTTTTTTGGAAGCTGTGCACGTGAAATAACCTTTAGTTCCTATCCTGTGGACACACCAGACAGTAAGAGGAAATTTCTCTAAAGTAAGGGAAATCCCCTCTTGGACCGAAACATATGTACCCAATGGAAGATTTACCCTGTATTTCTGTTCCAGTGACATTCACGCTTTGGCTTTACATACACTTTAAGGTGCAACCAACCTTGCAATAAAGTGAACATGCATGAATGTGGGCCTAAACATACATCTTTTATATAAAATACTTAATTTAACTTTTAATAGATAGCACAAGACTCCCAGAGCACTAAGGATTAGCTAAAGAGCCAGCACAGCAGTAGCTTAACTTGGATGAAGCATTACATTCAGTTTTTACATTGTAGCTTGAGCTACTGAACTCTGTAAACAGCAGGCTTTTATTCACAGGCTGCCAGGAGATGGCAAAAAAAAGTTGTGGGCCCTTCCTGCTGGTCAAGAAATCTAGATATAAAATATGAATAAGCAATGATTTATAATTAAATAAAAGGAAAAAGAAAAAATATAACCTGAAATTTTTTTTTAGTCCTAAACTTAATAAACTAAATAAAACAACTACACGTTCCCTTTTCCAAAAGCGGAAGCTCCACTTATTTGCTTCCTCCTCCTCTCCTCCACTGCCATATTTGGCACCTTTTGGGGGGGGGGGGGGGGGGTTTGAGTGGGGACCTGTTTTTGACAGGTACCCGCTCCCACTTCCGGCTCAGTTTGCCGCGGTGAAGTGAGCCCGAACTTCAGCCCCCTCCTCCCTCCTGCAGTCTCCTGGGAACTTTCACAGCTCCCAGAAGACTGCCGGACCAATTAGGAGGCGCAGCGCAACTCACGCATGCGCAGTGGGCACCAGGCTGTGAAACTGCAAGCTGTCACAGCCTGGTGCCCACAGTTGAGATGCAGACGCCGAGGAGGAAAAGGGACGGTGCGGGTGAGAACATCGCTGGACCCTGTGACAGGCAAATGTGTGTATTAAAAGTCAGAAGTTACAGTTTTTTGTAGCTGCTGACTTTTAATAAATACAAAAATGACTGGAACTCCACTTTAATTTATGGCTAGGATTATGGTTGAGGATTAGGGATTCATTTTAAGTGCTAGGTTAATGTTAGAGGTTGGGATGAGGTTAAGCATTAACTGGGAGGTTAGTTTGTTATTTACATTGTTATTTTTAGTAGTGGGTTAGCTTTTCATGCTTAAGCCTTTGGTTAAGGCAGTGTTTCTCAACTCCAGTCCTCATGGACCCCCAACAGGTCATGTTTTCAGGATTTCCCTCAGATGAAACAGCTGTGGTAATTACTAAGGCAGTGAAACTGATCAAATCACCTGTGTAAAATAATGGAAATCCTGAAAACATGACCTGTTGGGGGTCCATGAGGACTGGAGTTGAGAAACACTGCCTTAACCAAAGGCTTAAGCATGAAAAGCATGAAACACTGGGTTAAGGCAACATTTGAGTATTAGGGAGAAGAGTAAAGCCTAGAACACACAATGTGAAAATCAGACGAAAAATACCGCTTTTGGAGCGACCGTTCTGATCGTTCGTACATACAGTGGGGCAAAAAAGTATTTAGTCAGCCAACAATTGTGCAAGTTCTCCCACTTAAAAAGATGAGAGAGGCCTGTAATTGGCGTCATAGGTAGACCTCAACTATGAGACACAAAATGAGAAAACAAATCCAGACAATCACATTGGCTGATTTGGAAAGAATTTATTTGCAAATTATGGTGGAAAATAAGTATTTGGTCAATATCAAAAGTTCATGTCAATACTTTGTTATATATCCTTTGTTGGCAATGACAGAGGTCAAACATTTCCTGTAAGTCTTCACAAGGTTGGCACACACTGTTGCTGGTATGTTGGCCCATTCCTCCATGCAGATCTCCTCTAGAGCAGTGATGTTTTGGGGCTGTCGCTGGGCAACACAGACTTTCAACTCCCTCCAAAGGTTTTCTATGGGGTTGAGATCTGGAGACTGGCTAGGCCACTCCAGGACCTTGAAATGCTTCTTACAAAGCCACTCTTTCGTTGCCCGGGTGGTATGTTTGGAATCATTGTCATGTTGGAAGACCCAGCCACATTTCATCTTCAATGCCCTTGCTGATGGAAGGAGGTTTGCACTCAAAATCTCACGATACATGGCCCCATTCATTCTGTCCTGTACACGGATCAGTTGTCCTGGTCCCTTTGCGGAGAAACAGCCCCAAAGCATGATGTTGCCACCCCCATGTTGCACAGTAGGTATGGTGTTCTTTGGATGCAACTCAGCATTCCCTCTCCTCCAAACATGACAAGTTGTGTTTCTACCAAACAGTTCTATTTTGGTTTCATCTGACATTCTCCCAATCCTCTTCTGGATCATCCAAATGCTCTCTAGCAAACTTCAGATAGGCCCGGACATGTACTGGCTTAAGCAGGGGGACACGTCTGGCACTGCAGGATCTGAGTCCCTGGCGGCGTAGTGCGTTACTGATGGTAGCCTTTGTTACGTTGGTCCCAGCTCTCTGCAGGTCATTCACTAGGTCCCCCCGTGTGGTCCTGGGATTTTTGCTCACCGTTCTTGTGATCATTTTGACCCCACGGGGTGAGATCTTGCGTGAAGCCCCAGATCGAGGGAGATTATCAGTGGTCTTGTATGTCTTCCATTTTCTAATTATTGCTCCCACAGTTGATTTGTTCACACCAATCTGCTTGCCTATTGCAGATTCAGTCTTCCCAGCCTGGTGCAGGTCTACAATTTTGTTTCTGGTGTCCTTCGACAGCTCTTAGGTCTTCACCATAGTGGAGTTTGGAGTGTGACTTTTTGAGGTTGTGAACAGTTGTCTTTTATACTGATAACAAGTTCAAACAGGTGCCATTGATACAGGTAATGAGTGCAGGACAGAGGAGCCTTTTAAAGAAGGTACAGGTCTGGGAGAGCCAGAAATCTTGCTTGTTTGCAAATTATGGTGGAAAAAAAGTATTTGGTCACCTACAAATAAATTCTTTCCAAATCAGCCAATGTGATTGTCTGGATTTTTTTTCTCATTTTGTCTCTCATAGTTGAGGTCTACCTCAATGCCAATTACAGGCCTCTCTCATCTCTTTTAAGTGGGAGAACTTGCACAATTGGTGGCTGACTAAATACTTTTTTGCCCCACTGTAGGTTTTGATAGCCGATCACGATCATGTGAAAATATCCAAAGGGACAATAAACATAAAATTTTTCTTGTACAATAAACATAACAAATATGAGTTTGTTTAATCAGCACATTATTCATCCATTAAAAAAAAAAAAAAAAAAAAAAAAAAAGAAGAGTATGATCATTTGTCTGATATTCTCATTGTGTGTAGGCTTAAGTTTGTTTTGTTTGTGTAAATGTTAAAAATTAATATTGCGGTGAGGGACAGGGTTAAACGAGAGGCTGAGGATAAGTATTATAAATAGGTTACAGGTTGAGTGCTTACAATTTAATTTATATTTTGCTTATCGTGCCAAAGTCCCAATAAGAATTTTACTGCTGTGGGTAACGATGCCAGAAATCTAGTGTACCATACCCGATGGCCCAGCTGCATTCACTGGCAAATACAGAGGAAAATATTGGTCTGTAAAAACAGGAGGAAATGAAAAGCATCTGTGTTGCCCATAGGTATTTAAATTCTGTTTCTGCTCATTAGAAAAATGACAGATGAATCTTGGGGCAACAATACCATATCCTCTCCTTTATACCACTGTCCTATGCCAGTGCTGAGGGGGTTGGAGTGTTCTTAACCTGGGCATACACATTAAGGACTTATCTAACACATTCTTCTAACCTCATTACAGTGCAAATGGATAAATCTCTTCCTGCGTGTACTGTATTTTGACAGCTGGCCCCATTAGCTGTCAAAATGCCCAAAGAGTGTCTGCATATGACTGGATGAAGAAACTGTGCAGTCAACAATTTTCTGCCTCAGCCCCTTTGATTTTTTTTTTTAATACAGAGGATGTCGGGAGAGAGGCGGCTGACATGGCCACTCACTTAGGAAAATCTTCTCCAGTTCACCAGGAACTGGGAGAAATTCACTCTTTGATCAGTTTAATTGCCTAAAGATTTTTTTTCTGTTCTAATTGACAACTAAAAAAAATAAAAAAATAAAAAAAATCTACACCGATGCATCATTTTAGTTTTACAAAAAATACACTTAAATAAATATTTGCCATTCTAAGTAACATGTGTTTAAAGAGGATCTACAGTCATTTTTTTTTTTTAAACCTTAAGCCCCGGTTCACATATATGCGGCTGTGCGGGCCATGTTTTATGCGGGCACGAGAGCCCATTCATTTGAATGGACTCCCGTGCCCCGTGACACGCAAGGAAGAAGTCTCTGCACTTCTTCCGAAAACACAGCCCACACGGGAACCTCAGTTCCCAGTACTTTTGCATTCTCCAGTGTGGGCAACGTGCCATAAAAACTAATGGCACCCGCCTACGGGTCCGCATTTCTCTGTACGGATTTTCGTGCGGATCCACAGCGGCACCACCCACACAGATGTGAACCTAGCCTAAAAGTCGGTGCTAGAAATTCTGAAGGAACCCTCTGCACACTGGTATATACATTTTCCAGCAAAAAAAAAAAAAAAAAAAAAATACAAAAATAGGGATATTTAGTTCCCAAATATTGAAATACATGCTTAAGCGGCCAACTGCATCAAAGTAAACCCTCTATGGCCAGTCCTACTCTGCTCTGCCTACGCAAATGCTACTGTGGACACGATTAAAAGGTGGCAGCTACAAATACTGTAAGCGCTGACTTAACAGAGTTTCCAGAGATCCAGCACTGTTTTCATCCGCGCAAGTTTTCTTGCCGGTCTTTCGGTCCCCGATGCTTCCATCTTGACTTTGGAAGACAGCTGTGACTTCCTGCGGTTTCACACCTGGCTCCCCACTGAACATGCGCTATGCACTGCACTTTCAGAATGATTCCGCATTTCCCTTGTCCCAGGTGGTGGAGGGGGGTAGTGGATTGAGAACTTCCTGTATTTTTGCCTAGGCAAGAAAAGCAGACGTCTAGTCTAGAGCGGGTACCTGTTACTGAAAGGTACCTGCCCCTCCCCCCTGAAAAAACAAAGTTAAGTGAAGTTCCATTTGAATTCAGTAATAGAGTTTTAAGTGTAATAGAGGGGAAATCTTCCAAAGGGGGCACTATTTCCGATGACCTGGAGATCCCCAAAGAATACCCTTAAGTTGCAGGGTTTTTCTCCCACTTCCTGTTTGGCTATCTGACAGGAAGTGAAGAGAAATCTTCACAATGTTACACAGACAAAAAAAAATTGACAGGGGTAATCTATCCAAAAAGACAAAAAAAAAAAAAAAGAAGGAAAAGAAAGGTTTTGCTTATAGTTCTACTTCAATACCATCCCCCTATTCAGTAAGCCCTCACAAAGCATTGGTTTTGAGAAACTCATTAAACACCCTTTGTGGTCTCCGTTTCCTATATTAGTATCTCTTTCCATTTTGAACTAGTACACTATGTGAAAAATGACACACATCCACGCCTTACCTCTTTCTCTACAGCTTTCTGATTGAAATAGAGAGTGACCCGGTTAAAATCATCAGATTTCTTCCTGCCTGAGAAGAAGAGACATCAAACAATGAGGTCACAGAGCACTGTTACATGTATGTCTTCATACGCACACACTGAAACATTTTTTGGAAGAAACATTCTTAATAAATGCGTTAACGCTTCATACCTTAAGGAGTTCAGCTCCTCCAACACATTAAAGAAGTTCTCATTGGTTGGCTCATTTGACTCCTTTGGACGAGATCTAGAAACAGGAGGGAATTAGATTGAATTATATTTTATTCATCTGTTGAAAAAATGTTTTTAAAGGCCAACTCCAAGCTTTTTATGGGTGCAGATAGGTAAAATACACTGGTATTTTATATTAGACACAGGCTGTTGTGGTGAGATTTAACTGGAAAGGTTTTGGTTTCTGATCCAGTGGTGGACAAAGTCACCAAGGGGCTAATGTGCAAGAATAGTTCCTGGGCCCCCCATTTAACAAGTGGTCTAAGGAAATTTAAAGGATATTTCCACTCTTGCAGTCAAATTTCAGAAAAAACCCATATGTTTAGGTGTTCCCATTCACACAGCACATATATATATTTTTTTCTTAAGGTTAAGGTGTTTCTAAGCAGAAGGTGTCATGACTGATTCTAAAATTTCTGGAATTTCTTTGCCCCACACCCCTCTCATTAACATACAATGTAGGAGGGTAATTTCTAAATCTGTAACCCTTTGTTAGGACAGGCAGTTTTCAAATCTGGATTACAGCCGATAATGAAAAACTGAACACAGAACAAGCATGCTGGGCTTTTTAAGAAAGGTAACCAGCATTTTTTTTCAAGTTATGCAAAGTTAGTTGGAACATTTAACAAATATGAAGTGTCACCCGAATCTAGCTGCACAAATTGAGCCATGGAGCTGAATGAGAAAAAAAAAAAAAAAAAAAAAAAAAAAAAAAAAAAGCTTCCGCCATCCACACAAACAAGGTGGATGCTATAATCACCCCCCCCCCCCCCCCAAACAGGACATTGTATTCTGACAGCGGCAGAAAACATGTTGTTTAATAGACGCTGATTAACAATTGACACCCATCGAGCGGTGGATGCTGGACGGACTGGATTTCGCTCAATGTACGGCCAGCTTAGGTCACTGTGTACTGATTAATAGCTACACAGAACCCAGCAGTGTCAAAGCCTACAATAAAATGGGAGAAGGTTCCAGTACTTATCTGACTTGCATCCAGTATAAAATCGGTCCTCATGTTCAAGAGGGCCCTCTGTACACTTGCACAAATATTCATCCCCACCTTTCTTTTGCAGCTGGATTCCCAATGTTTAAATATTTTTTATTAATAACTCTACTGAAGGTAGCAAAGGTACAGAGTGATTTAAAAAGCCATAACATAGTCGCATTAACCAGCAAATTAAGTGAAATGTAATTTTGGGTGGAATTGGCCTTCAAATTACGAACTTCATTATGTTAACCTCCAGATGGATTTGTATACAGTTATCATTCTTTATATAACACAAGGATAGTCAGCACCACTTTGCAGTATTGGAAGACCACAAAATATACACACAGGGATTAACATGATGAAACAAAGAAACAAACACCAGGGCTCCCTTAAACCTTACAGCTCACATGGACACTACAATGGGGCTTCTTTCAAAATCCTGCCATTTGAGCCCTGCTATTCCATTCACTTGAATTGTTGGCCTGGCAAGGGAATTCTGTAAATGGTGGAAGTGTGCCTTCAAAGTAGGTGCATAATAGGCAATATTATGAACTGAACACTTAGCAGCTAGTGTTATCCAGGAAACACTTCAACTGAGCAGATCCATTCGGTTTTATAAAACCTGTGAAAAAGGGTATATGAAAGCTGCTTTGTCAATTTTTTTTTTTTTTTTAAACTTTCATGCGTTTAGGGTTGATATCCTCATCAAGTACATGTATATTAGGGTCCTGACACGCAATACATACATTGTTCTATCATGCCAGAGGAACTTCACACCAATATAGGTAAAGGAATTTGGAAAAGTTCAAGGTCATTCGCACTAACTAGTGAAAGAGATACAAATGCAAGTCCTAAAACTTCTTGCTTGATGTATCATTATTCACATTCATATTACCAAGGCACAAATCTTTTAGCACTAGAACTTTGTGTATGTGAAGAGCAGCAAACACAATACAGTAGGTGTGTTTGGGAATAGCTCTCCTGCATCACAAAAGTGGTTCCCAGATTACGGACGGGAATGGGGATGGAATGGTGCACTTCCTGTATGCACTTTAAAGTGGTTGTAAAGGCTCTAGGTTTTTTTTTTTACTTTCATGCACTCTATGAAAAACCTTCTGTGTACAGCAGCCCCACCTAACACTTTCCTGAGCCCCATAGGGACCCAGCAACATGCATGCAGAGCCTCAGCTCTGTCAACCACAGAGAGCCAATGAGTATAGAAAGGGGGCAGGGACAAGCTGCTCTCCATGTGTGTATAGACATACAGAGCAGCGGCTGGGAAGTGAGCCTGCTCAGGTGCCTCCATAGCAAGCTTCTTGCTCTGGGGGCACTTGGCAGGGAGGGAGGGGCCAGGAGTGCCGGCAGGGGACCCAAGAAGAGGAGGGTGGGGCTGCTCTGTGCAAAACATTTACACAGAGCAAATACATATAACATGTTTATTATTTTAAAAAATGTATTATGAATACAAGATCAGTGTCCATGAAACAATAATAAAATGTGAATAAATAAATACCCTATATATTGACACTTAAAAGTCACACTTTCACCCTTGAAAGTCCAAAAATATAAATAATGAATCCTCTTTAGTGTCCGTGAATCTTTCCAAATATATCCTCATGTGGAAGTCAGGAGGTAAGGAATCGCGTCAAGGGACATGACATCGGACGTTGCATGGTGACTGGAAGTGGTGGAGCGAGCATCTTAACTGAGGTTATATCGGTATTGGCATTCCTGGAAGCTGCTCGTGAGATGGGAATGGGAATATATGTGGTTTTATGTTAATTTTTAATGTAAGCACATTTAATAAAGCCTGGATCTTATTTGTATTGGATATACTACACCAGTGATGGCGAACCTATGGCACGCGTGCCAGAGCTGGCATGCAGAGCCATCTCAGTGGGCACGCCAGGAAGAAGATGATGAGCGCGCATGGACCGGCCATCCAGATCTCGTCCACACTGGACCCCCATCAAACTACATTTCCCACATGTCTCTGGGGCCAGGGTGGGCGTGGACGAGAGGAAACGGCTCCAATGCGGCTCTGGCACCAGGGGTGATGTAGCCGGGGATGGGCGCGGAAGAGAGGAAGAGGCTCCCACACTGCTCCGGGGCCAGGGGCAACGTGTTCAGCATGAATGGGAATGAGCTGCTGGGCTGGAAGCCACACCGACGCTGCCAGAGGTGAGATTAACTGCTTGCAGTGTCATCCATCAGTGCCCAGCAGTGTCGCCTGTCAGTGCCCAGCAGTGTCGCCCATCAGTGCTGCCCATCAGTGCCATCCATCAGTGCCCAGCAGTGTCGCCTGTCAGTGCTGCCCAGCAGTGCCACATGTCAGTGCCCAGCAGTATCGCCCATCAGTGCCGCCCATCAGTGCCACCCATCAATGATGTCCCAGCAGTGCCCATGCCATCAGTGCCCCCAGCAGTGTCACCCGTCAGTGCCCCAGCAGTATCGCCCATCAGTGCCGCCCATCAGTGCCACCCATCAATGATGCCCAGCAGTGCCATCCCATCAGTGCCCAGCAGTGTCACCCGTCAGTGCCCAGCAGTGTCGCCTGTCAGTGCTGCCCAGCAGTGCCACCTGTCAGTGCTGCCCAGCAGTGCCACCTGTCAGTGCTGCCCAGCAGTGCCACCTGTCAGTGCTGCCCAGCAGTGCCACCTGTCAGTGCTGCCCAGCAGTGCCACCTGTCAGTGCTGCCCCAGCAGTGTTGCCCATCAGTGCTGCCCATCAGTGCCACCCATCAATGATGCCCAGCAGTGTCCAGCAGTGTCATCCATCAGTGCCCAGCAGTGTCACCCATCAGTGCCCAGCAGTGTCGCCTGTCAGCGCTGCCCAGCAGTGCCACCTGTCAGTGCCCAGCAGTGTCGCCCATCAGTGCTGCCCATCAGTGCCACCCATCAATGATGCCCAGCAGTTCCACCGATCAGTGCCGTCTGTCAGTGCGTCCAGGTAGGCAAGTGGTTAATTGCAGTGTTGGCACTTTGAAATAAAAAAGTTGGTTTGTGTTGCAGTTTTGGGCACTCGGGCTCAAAAAGGTTCGCCATCACTGTACTACACTATATGGTTATTTCTTCTTCTATGAGTGATTTCCTATGGATGGCTCTGGGAAGTATTATGTCATGCTTGGAAGTATGGGATAACCCATCATCTGGCATAGCGTTTGTGGGATAATCTTGAGGATTGGTGGCCTATTGGATTATTCTCTTAGAAGGCTTTTTGATCACATATTTAGGGTAAGAGTATTTACTCTAGCCACATAGAAGTGTTCACGTAGTGCTCACAGAGAAGTGTTTTATACAGGAGTGTACACGGAGTGCCTCCCGCTTTCACGTGTTTTCACAATTGTTCACATATGTATATATGGTTTTGATCACCGATTCATTGAGGATAATACACCATCCAGTTTTTATTTTACTTTTTTGGAGGTACACAACGATAATGGATCATATTTTGGGATTATTACACTGAAGAATATATTTGGAAAGATTCACTGACACTAAAGAGGATTCATTATCTATATTAAAAAATATATTGCCTTTAACAGCACATTAAGGCTTAATTATAAAAACAAAATGATAGTGTTCTTTAAATTAACCTTTCTTAAATGGTTTACCCCAGAGGGACCATTGAAATAATTTTCAGGTCTCAAGGAACCTTTACCAAAAACAATTTATTGGTGGCTAGTGAGAGAAATACCCCTTCTTACAAAAGTGGTCAAAATACCACCCTTACATAGAGTTAAAAAACCCACTGGGCTCTGGCAAGTGGCGCTGGCCCAGCAACTATTCAGGCACCATCAGACTGGAGGTCAATCAGCTTCAGCTCAAGGAATCCCTAGCAAGCTCTGAAGGAACCCTAAAGTTCCATGGGACCCTGACTGAGAATGACGGCTTTAAATGAATGTGTTTTAATGATCAGATGCCTTCTTTAAAATATTAGCTGTTTGAACTGAATTCCATATCATAAGCAGCACATAAGAAATCCGGGGGACAAGACTGGAGCTCGTCATAATATAAGCTGACATT